CTAATTTACGGTTTAATTTACGTTTGTTTTCATGGATTTCAAAGTGATGACTGATGATGATTTATCGGGTATAGAAAATTTTCATTCTTAGTTTATAGGAGAGATTTCGGGGTGATTGTAGTGAAAAAGCACTTTTACCCCTTGTAATAATGTATGAAAATGCATGGAATCGTCTGAGGATGTGAGAAAATAGGCTGCAATACTGTAATCGAATCCAATAGATGAGAGAATCAATTCCAAGTGCGAAATTTAGTTACTTTTAATAATAATAATGAAAGTAATATTAAGAATAAATAATAAAGCAAAATAATAATATTAATAATAATAATATATTTTCTTATTATTATGTCAAACTTTCATATTGTTTCTATTAACTTTCGCACGTAAAGGTTTCAGCGTAATTGATTAAAGCATCTAATAGAACATCTTATAATATTTAATTTACAATTTAATACAGATATTAATCATTATATCAATCTTTTATATATTTTAATTTTTCAATTATAATAAACTAATGATAATTTGATAATCTTTATATTTTATCTATTAAAACATTTTTTAATCTATTCAAATCTTTTACAAATTTTACATTCAAATTCATTTTCAACCATATTTAAATATTTTTAAAAAAATAATACATAATTTACTCTCAAATTCTTTCGATACTCGTTCTTTCTCAAATCTCCTCCTTTAACTAAACACACCCTTAATAATGTATTGTAGAAATAGAAAATTCTTTCTTGAGTGAAAGTTGAATTGACATACATTCTAGTGGTCTCATATCATTGTTGAAGATTTTGCAAAACAAGAGGTAAATTGGCTCAGCGAATCCATTATAGAGGCTACTATAATTGGGAAACTGAAAAATATGAACTTATTCACTTTCAATATAGGTTTTCCTAATTTATTCGGTTATCATTTTTATATTTTTTTTTCTACCGTGGATTAGGAGACTAAATTAGTTGGTGCAATTAGGAAAAATGAAAAAAAGCCTTAAGTGGACCTTGTGACATTCCTAGTTTTAGTTCCTTATTGTTTATGCATATAATATTATTAGAGAAGGATATTGATGCAATTGCAAAAGTGTAAGAAATCCAAACTTTTAGAAGTTGTTAAGTGATAGGTACTGAGTTATTATACGCATTTGTTATTTATTAAGAGATACATATACGACACGGACAGTTAAACGAATATTTATACCTTATGAAAAAAAACATATTTTTTTAATTTCTATAACTTCATCTTTTAAATATTTTTAATTTTATATATTTTTTATTATTTTCTAAAAGATAGGACATGTGTAAAAAGTGGAGTTTAATTAAAAAAAGATAAAACCAAAAATACAAAAGAAATAGAAGTTCATGAGTAATGTGTGGGATGGGGACAATAAATAGAGTGTTAATGATATGAGATGTGGCGTGTAAGTGGAGGTGCAGCAGTAACACATGTTCAAAGAGAAGTGCAGCCCAAAAACAAAACAAACAAGTGGGGCTGTCAAGAGGTGCAGAAAAATAAAATGGTGGGTGCAGATAGCCTATGCTGGTCAACCCAAATTTCTCTAAAAAAATCTGAGTGTTTCATCCTGTAACTTCAAGTGCTTTATCCTGCACCTCCAAATTTTTTTAAAATACCTACATTACCCATGATTAAGAAGGATTTAATATTTTAAAATAAAAAATTAAAAGTGGTCAAAGATTCTGGCTTTCAGCACAAATATTATTTCCACGCTTTTTCTCTCGCATCTCATTCTCATTCATCACATTTCATTTCTCCAGAGTTCATCACACACCACCCTCTCCTCTGCCTTTCCTCTTTCCAGTAGCACCCAGTACACAACAGTTTCGTCTTCCATTGTCACACACACAGGTTGTCCATTCTCGCAGTCGCAGACAGAGCTCGTCCATTCTCGCACAGAGGTCGTCCCGTTCTCGTCCCGTTGGTCGTCCACGCGAAGGTAGTGCTCCCACTCTCATTCTGTGTATAGATGGTGTCTGGTGTGGTTTTCAGAGTTTTCTGTAATGGTTGCAGGCACACGACACACACAATCAAATATTCTGCGTGTTGAGGTTGGAGCGCCAGAGAGATAAAGGAGCTCCTCCAGCGCCGACCAGTGCAGAGAAACACCCACCCACAGTCCCTTTGAGCACCCAACTGAGGTTGGTTTGTGTTGGTTTTTATACATAACTAGTAGATTTCTTGTGCAGATCTGGGTGAACCAGGCATGGAGAGTCGACAAGTGTTGAATCGGATCTCCATAATCGATCCAGCCTTTATCGGATGTCCAGATCCGATGAATGCTGAATCGATTATGGAGATCCGATTCAGCCCCTATCGATTCTCCGTACTCGATTCTTAGGTTGATTTTTTTATTTTGTTTATATTATGTTTTAATTTAATATTTAGGGTTTATTTTTTTTGCGTTTGGTTGAATTATTTGAAATGTTATTATTTTAGATGTTTTATTAATTTTTTGTTTTAATTTTTTTAAATGTTATGTTATAATTATTTTAAATTTTCTGTTTGAATTTTTAAATTTATAGTTATATGAATTTTCTTTTAATTAAATTGTTATATTTGAAATAATTATTTATTGATATAAAGAAATAATTTTATTATTTTTAATAAAATAATTTTAATTATTTTAATTTTCCGTTTTAATTTTTTTAATTTTTTGTTCTAATTATTTTATATTTTTTGTTATAATTATTTTAAATATTTTGTTATAATAGTTTTCAATTTTCTGTTTTATTTTTTTTTTTAATTTTTTAATTTATAGTTATTTGATTTTTATTTTAATAAAATTGTTATAATTGAACTAATTATTTATTTATATAAAGATTCGAATTAATTGTTTTTTATTTTTAGTTAAATAAATTTAATTATTTTAATTTATCTGTTTTATTTATTTTATATTATTTGTTTTAATTATTTTATATTTTCTGTTTTAATTATTTTAAATATTCTGTTATAATAACTTCAAAAATTCGTGTTTTAATTTTTTTAAATGTTCTGTTGTAATTATTTTAAACTTTCTGTTATAATTTTTTAATTTATAGTTATTTGATTTTTATTTTAATAAAATTGTTTTAATTGAATTAATTTTATATTTAATCAAGATTTGAATTAATTTTTTTTATAGTTAGAAGATTTTTTTTTACTTTTTGTTTTCTGAAATATTAGATTTTTACAGTTAGTTAAAAATGTTTTAATTACTTTTTTGTAATTATTTGAAATATTTATAATAATTTAGAGATTTAAGTTATTTTTTTTTGTAATAATATATTATTTAATTTTATAATGAATTAGTAAAATTGATTTTATTTGAAATAAATTATTTTGAATGATTTAATATTTTTCATTAGTGCAATTTTTTTAATTATTATAATATTATTGTTAATAAAGAAATTTAGAATAGACATGGCTCGTACTCGAGGAGGTTTCTCTTCACATCGTGGAGAGAGTTCGTCACAGGGTGAGAGGTGGAGACCTACTGCTTCTGTTCGTAGAAGACGTGGAGCAGTTGATTCTGATATTCATGTTGAGGACCATGGAGATGTGAGGTTTCACGAGAATGCAGTTGAGGATCATGCATATGAGGAGCATGATATTGAGCAAGAGGAGGATCGTGAGGATGTTGCTGAAGGTGGATTTCCTGGAGGTCCATTAGACGCTTCAGTATTGACACATTACATTCACCATGTTGCTTATACGATATGGCAGGGTCGGGTGAGTGCAAAACTTTAATTTTAATGATTATTGTTTAGTTGAAATAATTTTATATTAAATATTATTGTTTAGGAACGGGAGGAGATCAAAATGATCTCCCATGGGAAGAAGTTAACTAGATTAGGATCCTGCCACGAGGGCATTAGAGACATCGTTAGGGGTCTACTGCTGACATTTGTAGAGAGATTTCATTTCGAGACCAGCAGTTTCCATCTCCCCGTGGGTGAGATGATCGTGACTTTAGATGATGTGTCATCATTGCTACACCTCCCAGTTTTAGGGCAGTTATGTCATCTAGAGGAAGTAGATTTTGAAGACAGTAGACGCGCCATTGTGGAGCTTTTAGGCGTGGATGGCGAGAGAGTTGGTGCTGAGTTACATGCAGCTCACGGTGCGAAAGTCAGAGTGAACTGGCTTCGAGACATCTATGCTGAGCATTTTGAGCAGCAGTAGTGGGAGTATGCTGCCCGGACATACTTGTTGCATCTAGTTGGATGTCGTATATTTGCTGATAAGACTGCCACATCCATTCGCGTGTCTTATCTTTTGCTCTTTAGAGTCGTACACGCATGTGGCCGATATGCTTGGGGCGTTGCTGCACTAGCATACATGTATGACCAACTAAGAGATACCAGCTTGGCTTCAACCAGATAGATGACAGGTTATTTGACTCTGTTACAGGTAGAAATTTAGTTTACAATTTGATTTGATTGAATTTTTTTGACGTCGACTATGAAATAATTTATAATTTTTTGTTTTGTAGAGTTGAATATATGAGCACTTCCCTACATTGGGAAGAAGGCGTCTGATGTCTTCGTACATGGAAGACAGACCGCGTGCTGCAAAGTGGGAGTCGCCGAGGCAGGGTTCCACCCTCTTAGAGGTCAGGGTACACTTGGATGCGCTGACATATGATTTAGTCATCTGGTACCCTTAGGAGTCACATCGGGAGAGTCGTTCTTTTTACGACGTTTGTATGTTCTCGGGATGGATCAGGATTGGTGAGACATTGTGTCGACATTTGCCTGAGCGTGTTTTGAGGCAGTTTGGATTTTAGCAGTCCATCCCTCGAGACCCACCTGCTGCTGCAGATGCGGACAGGACCGACCTCAGATGTCAAAAATAAACCTCTAAGCTTTTGAAGAGCCCAAGTGAAATTATTTTGACACTCACTTGATAAGAATGCAAATGCGGCTAAGTATGTTAACCCAGTAGATGTCATACCAACAATCTCTAACAATGACAACCGATATTTATTTGTTTTATAAGTTGAATCCATTAACAAAACAACATTAAATGCATTCAATAACTTGATTGCATCAGGAGGTGTCCAAAAGGGGTCACTGACAACCTCAGAATCCTCCGCACATCTACTCCAATGTATATACTTATCCTGATCTAACATCATCATCAATTGTTGCAACTCAGTTCTCGACCCTCTCAATGAGAGTTTATATGTATACCTTGCTGTGTAAACTTGTTTTATTGTAGTTACATTATGCTAATTATTTTGTTTCAGAGTCAACAAAATATTTGCTGGTGTTACTTGGGTTTTAGTCATATTAACAAGTATTGCTTGTTCAGTAGGATTTAACCTACCAACATAAGGATGACCCACTAAAGTTTTTGCTAAATCGTGATTATGATATCCACATATCACTTGTAATATCCACCCATCGCCATTACCAGATGGTTTGCCCCTTAACTGGAAAGGACACTGACATTTTCGGGTGCCATATGTACTAGGTTGGTCGGGTTTGTATTTTCTATATTTTCCACCTTTTTCACATCCTAGCAACACAAATGTCTTCCTCCCAGGTTGACCGGTAGCTTTATCGGATCTTATAGTTACCACAACAAATCCTAGATCATATGCAATCCCTTTTACCCATTCAATTAAGTTTTTCCGAAAAGAAAAAATTTCATTTGTTGTGAAATTATTCGTCAAATCTTCATCAGCAACCTCATTTATAAATGATGAAAATTCTGATAGCATGATACAATTTATTTCAGAATCCATCCCATAATAATATTCGTCCATTTAAATTATAATCACCTATAAAAAAATAAAAAATTAATACAATAAATTTAAAATTTATAATTATATTATAAAATCAAAAACTAATACAATAATTATACAATTATAAATTTATTAACAATATAATCTAACTTAAAAATCCACCAAGTTAAATAAACTTAAAACTATATAAAAAATTATTAAAAATTTTCATAACAATTTTTATATCTAAAACTTATAAAAATTAAATATTTAAAATGCATTTTTTATATTAACAAAAATTAATAATTATAAAAATAAAGTTAAATCGTTTTATTAAATTTTTATATAAAACAAACCTACTTAAATAATATTCATAAAACAACATGCAAAAATATGAAAAATTCGTAACAATTATTTTTTAACAATTACGTATTATCTAATTATATTATAAATTCATAAAAAGTATACATAAACTTAAATATAATGATAAAATAATAAAATAATAAAATAATAAGTAAAATAACTAAAAATTTATATAAATAAGTGAATGGCTGTCGAATATGTTATGAAAATCTAATATATACATGATTATTGTTCCATCAATTTTTTAAATAAATGCTAATCCTTGTAATAATTGAGTATTAAAATACTTTTTCCAGATAAAAAATGTATGGTCAGCTGAATAACAAGCATGTTACAAATAATATAGACACTGCGAGAAAAAATTTACATCTTGATGTGGAAATCCAATATATATATATATATATATATATATATATATATCAATTAAAAAATATATAAATTATATATATATATATATATCAATTAAAAAATATATAAATATATATATATATATATATATATATATTTATTCTAAATTATTTTTATTAATTTTAATAAATTCAGAAAAAAATTTATATCAATTAAAAAATATCTAATTTCATTATAGACTAATATAAAATCATACATAATTTTAAAATTAATTATAAATTAATAAAATAATTAAAACAATAACATAATTAAAGTTTTATGTATAAAATTAAACATGTATCACATATTGATATCCGAATCACCATCGGATCTCCAAGTCCGATTTCTGTGCATTCGGTTATTCTTATTTTGTTTCAAAATCATATGTAAAATAAAAAAATTAATTTAAACTAATAAAGGAAATATTAAAAATAAATAAACTAAATAAGGTAAACATACATAATATTTAATATAATCTAAGTTAGAGTATCGGATATCTATATCCGAAATTTCCTGTAATCGGATGTCTATATCCGATCCGCATCCATCGGATCTCCACATCCGATCGGCATGCATCGGCTATTCGTAGTCGATGACTTCATATTGTTTTTTCGTTTTTCCTTTAGTTTTGGTAGCATGCAAACAAATTAACAAAAATAAAATACATCTCCATCAATAACATTCCAACCATGAAATCTATCTATGCACACAGATTAAAAACAAATACTAACCTTTCTCTACAGAAAAAGCACAAAGAAGACAAAGACACCGAAACTGCACCAACACAAAGTCAAGCTGCCGATACACCACTCCAAAGTGCACACTCGAACAATCCTTCTGTTTAGACAATACTCAATCACTCTCAAGAGAAAAAATATTATCAAAGAGCTGTGAAGAGTTGTGGAAGAGCGTAGGGTTTCTTTTATAAAAATGAAATGGGATGCAGGAGGTGTAGGATGCACGAGGTGTAGGGGTGCATGAGTGAAGGGTGCAAGGGGTGCAGGGGTGAAGAGGTACAGAAGGCAAGAATGCATGTTTCTTGATTGGTGGAAAATGGAGGTGGAGTCAATGGTGGCACATAAATTTTTAATAATCAAAAGATTAAACTTTTAAACCACTTATTAATTAAGGGCATTTTAGAAAATTGGAGGTGCAGGATGAAACACTCAAAAAATCTGATAACACGGGGTGTTTAACATTCAAGTTTAACTTGAGACAAAAGAGAAATTGTTGTATTTTGGACTCAAAGTATGGTGTTAGGTAAGTATAATCTCTTGTGAATTGCATATCATAAGTACATGCTCTCAGAATGAGATTCATCTGAGTATTGATTTTAGAGAGCTTACTTAAATAAGAAGTTCCAGAATAATGATTATAGAGTTGTTTTATGTAACCTAGTGCTTGGCTGAAGAATTATGTTGTGAGATCTTAAGATGAAAAAGGTAAGGGAAATTAACTCTATGGCTAACTTTATGAATGTGTGTTCTTGTTATGTTGGATGATACTCTCTCTCATACGAAGATAGCTAACTTTATGAATGTGTGTTTTTTTTTTATGTTGGATGATATTATGGTAAGAGAAGGATTTAATTTGTTATGTTTGAAATGATATGATATATATGTATGCTAAGCTAGGACGGTATATTTTTGTTATCTTGTTTTATTTTTTTTTCTTCCTCTCATTTGTTTTTCTTTTTAACTTTTTTCTTTCTTTCTTTCCTTTTTTTTCTTTTTTCTTTCTCATTTTATTTTGATACTTACAAACTTCTTTAGGTGATAAAGAAATAAGAGTAAATAAGAGTGACTTTGTGATTTTAGTAAACAAATATATATTTGTTCGTGTAACCATTATGTTGAGTTTTTCTTTTCTTTTTTTCTATTAAACCGTCACGGTTTTTCAAGCAACCTATGATTAACTTCTAAAGAAACTACATGACAAATAATATTGTCTGCATACTTCTCAATTGAAAATACAATCTTTACTTGTTTTTTAATCTTTAACTCTCCTTTCTTGCTTAACCATTGTAGATTATATGGTCTAGGACGAGGTTTAGTTTCTAAGTTCATTATGGTCATTAATTTTGTGTCGATCACAATTGTGCAACTTCTTCCATCTATGATTAGTGAACACAACCTTTTTTCCCATACAATAACTAGAAGGAAACATGTTCTTTCTATGACTACCCTCATTTCCTTTAGTAACTGCTGAGTGCATATTTATGCCCTCATTTAACCTTTAATCTTGAATTCTTAATTAGTTTTTGTACTTTAAAAGAATATCTTAATTAAGATTTGTTATAATTTGGTTTATTGATCATGAGATACAAAAATATGTAAACAATAGTTTTTTAGTTGGATAAATGTTCTTCTTTTGAATATTTTGAGGTGTGTTAATGCAAATGCAGCTAGGTTAAGCTCGTAGAGGTGTGAAAATAAATCTCGAAGTTCTCAGAATAAAAACGACCTGCCAGATTTAAGGACAAATCTTTCTCAAGATGAACAAGATGATGGCATAAGGCAACCATTGAATCTCCTATTAGGAATTTGACCAAGGAACGATCAATCAGGTGGAAGAATGCTACCAAGAAGGGAAGAATACATGCAATTTCCACTTGGAATAAAGGAGATGAAGCAACCATGGTCGCCCAACAGAAGATTGAGCTCGCCTAACCAAAGTAGTTCATGCTCAATGACCAACAAAGGAT